TGTGTGCGGGTGCACGCCTGTGTGGATATACAACTTCTACTGACACTACACGTATTTTCGCAGTGTGATGCGCGAAATTTAATTACGGCCTGGCAAATTCTTTCGGTCTCCCTTCTCAGCATCGTCATGAATCCATAGAAATCGTTCGGCTATAGCGCCCTTTCGGTGTCTAGTTGCAATGCCACCCGAAGGAAGCACGAGTGCTGGGTTGCCTAAACCACTGAGCCCCAATTTTAGTTATGGCGAGTGGTAAAACGATTCATCATGCACACCCGGTGAACTACAAATTTAATTACTGGCAAATTCTTTCGGTCTCCCTTCTCAGCATCGTCATGAAGCCATAGAAACCGTTCGGCTGTAGCGCCACTTTTATGCCTAGTTACAATGCCACCCGAATGAAGAATGAGTGCTGGGTTGCCTAAGCCACTGAGCCCCAATTTTAGTCATGGCGAGTGGTAAAACGATTCATCATGCACACCGGGTGAACTACCTTATCCGCAACAAGAATTACGGGCAACAACCTCCGCCATCGTGCTGACCTTTACTCAGGGAGTACTGCTGGCGTGTTTACGAATTTGAAGCAGTACAGAGGGACCAAAGTTATGACAACTGTTCGCCATTAGTTGGCTCTTGAAAACATCCGCATCCAGGCAGCACGCAACCCAAAAACTCAGACAAGGTTTTCGACTGAACCTTTTTACTTCCAACTCTGATGGCTAGTTTGTCTCTTGTCTCTCTAAACTGCTTTATCGATTCAGGTTGACTGATCAGTGTTTGCATAGAGCTCTAACAAATCTTGTCAGGTGAACGAACAAGTGAGGTATTAGAAATGACCATCGATAGTCGACAATTAATTCCGTCAGAAAGACTGGTGGAACCTAATACGCTACTCATAAGGTTGCTGAAGATTCTTCGACAGCCCATGACCGGTTTCGCCCTTCTTGGGGCTCATTAGCTAGGCACAGTTCTCAAGTTTCCATATGTTCTAATTTAGACCAAATGATACGAAGTTAGCGAAACAAACTCATTCGCAAACAAATATGGTTTGACATCATAAACGAGAGATTCAGTTGGGTTCCAGGTGAGTTTCTCGAGAAACCGAATTTGTTTGCAAATGAGCGTAGTTCGCTGATGGAACCTGTTCTCTTTGTGATTCAGCTGCATCCTGAAGAAGTAAGTTAAAGTCGGTGGAGTGGAAACTGAATGAACCGATCACACCCTCGCTGCCTCCAGCTGACATTTTTAATGTCCAATCGACCAGTGAATAGTTCAAACGATCCTGACGAACCCGTAGAGTCATGTGACCTTCCTTGACTTGGCAATCGACGGAAAACTTATGGACGCGAAATTTGAGCGGTGCCGAGTTAATGAAAATGTATTGGCATAATAACGAGTCAACCATATTCATTGAAGACAAACTAAAACAACCTGAGTAGTACTGGGCGCAGGTTGCTGCATCCTTAACGATGTTTGGGGTAGCACATCATGGAACTGAAGAAAGTCCATCATTTTTTCAGCGTGGCAACTTGAAAGGCAGGTCTTCCACAATCCTAATGGTTACCTTTTAAAGTGATATGAATATTCTTTCCTTCAACATCTCAGCTGGACACCTTTCAAGTCACAAGCGACTGACGGCCGAACAGCGAGGGGACACCCAAAAATATGCGTATTTGAGTTAGTGAATAAGCCTGGTACACCTTTACGCACAATTGGTCACCGTTTCTGGGGCTTCGGTTATCAAATTCCACTAACTGGAAACCTCTGAGGCCCCTTTCGATATGAGCACGCTTGTGGATTTCTCTACTGTACGCTTAGCATGATGTTCAAATGCAAACAGATTTTTCAAGCACCTTTAACTGAGACAACCGCTTAAAGCCACCTCGCTTGAGGCATGCCAGATAGGCACTATAAAGCCGTCAATCTAAGCAAGTCTTCATGGTATGTAGGAGGTGAAACAAGGATTGTCAACATCGCAGCTCTGCCACCAGATGAATCTCAACCGCGTATGTAGAACCCTTCGCCAGTACAGACAAACATCGACCCCCCGAATGAGAAGCAAGCTGCTCTCCACAGCTAACGTGAGCGTAGTTCACATGCGCAAACCAGACTCATTCATCCAAAAGAAACTTTGAGAAGAACCACATTTGAACTTATATACCGAAATCTGACCGTTTCGTAAAGCCGAAGACTTCAACTAGTTCAAGAAACATGGTTCACGATCCAAGAAAAACCTATCCAGTTGCTTTCTCCTCCGTCAAGCGAATCAATTCTCGTGACAACTGGTGCTTCGTTCGATAAAACCGTTATGTCCTAGCAGCGCTCTGTTTCGCTATCTTTTATACAGCTGCGAGAACTGAATGAGAAATTGTCAAAGAGGACGTTTTGACGGTTCTCAGACTGTTCGGACAGTAACCGAACCTTTTGCGAGCAAAAGACACATTATTCGTCGACTACATCCTTTACTGGTGTCACCCTGTCTTCTCATGCCAAACAAACGGAGATCGAAGGACTGTAAAGTCGGCGGAGTGCGCTGATAACGACTGCTGGAAAACGATTCTCTGACAAAAAGATACTAAGGTGAACGTACAAAGACAGGTGGAGAAATATCAGAACATACAGGCAGAAAGACACCAAGCACATTAAGCTACAGGTTACTAAGACGAATGAGAACAGCTCAGTTTGATCACAAACGCTCAAGCATTTACAAACGGACGAACCACTAAACCAGAGGAAATCTCTAAATCACCGTGTATGAATGATATCACCTCGAACAGCGATGAAGCGTTTGCAACTGATCTGACCAGCTTGCCGGACGAATCAGCAAACTGCTAATATCATAAGCAAGAATGACGTGAAATTTTACTCTTCGCAAATACCTGTGAAACCTTTTTAAAAGGACGTCTAACAGTGTTTAGTTATCCTCTAGGGTGGCCTTCTTTCTTCAAGGTCAATCACACCTGACAAACGGTTGCCCTCGATATCCATTTCCGAATGACAGTATCTAGCCAAATCTACCTTAGACCGCTGAAGCGTAAAATTTGCGCAAAACGAATCATCGTTTGTTGAATCGCAAATAAACGCAGAACGACCTGCTGAGCCTGTCAGTTCCCAAGGCCATAAATGCATAACACGCTCAACTCTCTATCTCTCCTGGTTATTTGACGAAAAGGCGCCAACACGTTCATCTCTCCTGGTTATTTGACGAAAAGGCGCAACTGTTCTGGACTATTTTAGGGCGACCAATTCAAACTTTTCAGTAAGCAAATCGTCACGTGACCGAAAGGAATGGCACAACTGACAATAAATTACATGTGATGACGAAGGTCGGGTTACCGTGTAGTCACGTGAAACGAGAAATAATCCGAAATTCTCTGAACCAATCTCTTTTCTTAATTAGTATCGTACCAACAATTGCGTAACAGTTGCTAAACAGCTGAACTTCATTGCAACATCAGGTATTGTGAAGAGAGAAACCGGAAAACCTGAAGCAGATGGTTCAATCAACCGAAATAGCCAAATCAGTGAAGGGATTGCTAATAACACCTCGATAAAACTTTTGTTGCCACTTAGATGTGGAATTGAGGTAAAAACCTTGCACAATCTGATTCCGTGATATTGCAATCCTGACCTTCAGGGAGTTTTGTCTTGATTTTTGGGTTAGGTACTGGAATCATTCGGTCACCATCTGTTCTGTTCACCACCTCGCTCCCTCAACTTGTACGAATCGTCACCACAATGGTGGAAAACTCCTTGCAAGTCGTAAAGTTGGAAGCGCCACCTTCTGAACGCCGTTATCATCATCATCGTCGACAGCATGACATCAGTGTTCAACACCGATGCTTCACTGCCGTACAACCATGACTTATTTAAAAGCCTTATTGTAAAGAAAAGAATAAAGGTGGACGGGGGAAGGACTTAGTGCTAGCTTAACATAATCATTCCGAGGTGACTACACCACCAGACATTCACTCAGGCAATCTGGATAGAAGCTGACAACAAGAACGCCACTGACATCGGTTGGCAGCCATATCTTGTAGAGTCTCCAACCAGGCACAGCGAGGATTACGCGGTCCCCATCCTGGAAGGCGAGTAGCACCGACAGCCGTACGAGGCAGGAAAAGAGCTCAAGTACTTCAGTATACTTCAAACGAGCTTATATTGATCACATCACGCATGCGTACAGAATCCGACAAATTCTCAGGCGCGCAATTCTGCAGGCTGGACCAAATAAGACAAGCCGAGTGAGTTTATCAGGGACTGTGTTCGTAGTTTAATTCGCTGAAGAATGGTGACCACATTCGGTTAAAAAACATTCGGCTACGTTGCTACACAGCCGCTACAACTTTACACTCTCTCGTTACATTGTAGGCCCGAGTCCGGTGAGAATAAGAAAAGTCGGTTGGGTAGGTTCCGTCCATTACTGGAAAACATATGGCAAACTGTGATAGCAGTGCCTCTTTGATGAAGAAAAAGCTGAAGCCGAACCTAGTGATGGTGATTTGCATAACCAATCGAAGACCGTGAAAGGAAGGAGGTAAGATTCCATTCGTAATGGAAGCTGTTTCTGCGGAGGATGGAATGCGAGGCCGTCACTAGAACAAACGTCGGCGTGGAGGGAGTAAACATCTGTTTTCAATGAGAGAGTTGCCGCCGGTGACACTTCACCTCATAGGATGGGTAAATCCATTGCTGATTTAATATGGCTTGACTGAAGATTGCAGAAAACCACAGGCTTTCTTTCAAGTCTATTGCTGTGACCTAAGTACGCCCACGGTGAACAGGAGTAACGGTCAGGTTTGATTTAAACATACAGTTGCCATCGATGTTACTGAGTTTTGTAGTTCAACAGATTTTCAGTGTACTTCTGGGTCCCGTCTAGAACGCCAGCAAAATAAGCACCTGTTGGAATGGGAAATCTAGGGACCGAAGGTGAATCAAGGAAGACCGCGACAAAGCCCATTTTGTGTGGACATGATCCCCTATCCTCTGAAATAAAAAATGTCCCGGATTCAATGAGAAATGCTATATTAATCAGTAATAGTAATGGAAAAATAAGTCCATCAGACATAGCTCAATAGCTACACATTTTTGTTAAAAAAAATATCACAAACAAAAAGGAGAAACTCATGACAGCCATTATGAAGTTGGAAAACTGAGACTAGAAGTAGGTGAAGTATTCAAAAAGTCATAAAAGTCGACGATCAAAGATTACTACCAATACTTCCCAGACAAAAGCTCAGCAAAGCTTGTGCGCTGATAGTCTCCACGATAGAACAAGCGACCGTACGTGGGATTGAGCAAAAATTCCATTTCATGCTCGCGGTCCGTTGAGCAGGCGAAATCATCCCCACCACATCCACAACCAGCCTCTCCAGCAAGCGACTTCTCTAAAGCATAGCCCGGGTGAGTCATGAATTCTATACTCTTCCCGTAGTCAATCCGATCAAGACACTGCCTTACTGCGTCCAGTGTCTGGTGTCGACCCATCAGTGTCATCCCAATGAACGCGTCCGTTGACCTAGTTCGAAGGGAAATATGTATTGTCTTAAACTACTGGAGAGTAGCTAGTAGTATGTTTTAAAAAGCAAAAAGCCGGATAGACCTGAAGCGCGCTCTTCGCATGCATACATCAATATGTGAAACAATGCTCGCGGAACTGACATCTCAAACAAAATCAAAATATGGATTGTACACTAAAAATGGGTTTTGAGCGCTTTCATCGTTTTGGGCCTTATTTTGAATAGCTTTTCAAGAGGCATGAGAAACCCCGCAATCTTGTGTTTCCGAAAGTTGCTTACTATGCTCGTTGGGATCCAGGAGCGCAAGGAAGTATGGTATATGATCCAGACAACATAAAGTTATTTCTTCGGGGCGAGATAGCTCAAGTGGTAAGAGTGCGGATCCACTGACCGGAAGGTCCGTAGTTCGAACCCGATCTCTAGACTTCCCCTGTCTGGGTTTGGGCAACCTGACGGTACGCCAGCCCTGGTGCTTCCTCCAGATAGCATGGCAGTTAGGCACCGAAAGGGTGTTACCGCTGAACGATTATTAGCAGTATTTCTTCCAATAAGGTGCTCATACACAAAGAACAGGTCACTATGAAGAAGCTTGTTGACTAGATGAAGAACGTGTCACTTTCAAAACCGTCTGAAACTCACGATTTTCCCTAAGCTGACACCGGAACCAAGTTCGGGCCTTACTGTGATCTCGTCAACGCTGCAAGGCGGAGCAGCAACAACAGCCAAACCTGTGTTTCCAAGCATACAAATGTCCGAAAGTTTAAGTAATCCGGTATTCTCATTTTTCAAAAATACCTCGGTCATATTGAATGAAGTATAGTTAGTTGCAATCGGATCTTGGGCAACCAGTGTGGGATTCCTGCAGCCGACTTTTGCAACCTGCCCTTTCCTGGGCTCCAAACGCGGGTCACCTGGAAAAAATCCTATCGCGGAGAGCAGTATGAGTCCAGACCACTCCTCAAGGGATTGCTGTGACAAACAAAACAGGAAACGGTGTACGATGGGATTTACTCGCAGACGAAGACAAATTGATATCAGAAAGAAGCATTTCCAATCGTCCGCTGCAGAAGGAACATGCTAGGTGAGTGGAGTCTGAGGACATAGAGTACGACAAGCTAGAACCACCCTTCCACAGACACAGTAAACAGAATGTCACGGAAACAGTAACACCTCTAATCGACGAGTTTGCCATGTTCTTGCGATTCGGTTTTCGTTGGACACTTAAATTTCACTTGTGGCTCCAGAAGCCTGTTTGCATGCGGCTGTAGCCATAACTCTCTAGGCGACTTCAACAGAAGTGGTTTACGATCGTGCTCAAGAGAAAGACAGGCCCAGAGGATTGTGTGGATGAGATTCGCACCCGAACGTCATTACATCGGATCTCCCTGTTGTTTCGCAGACTGTGCAGTGGATGCACGAGCTACACCCCGCGACAGAGTCCTGCGGTATCGAGTTCCTTACGCGGAACTTCCATAACTATGAGGGTTATATCAGAAGTAGCGAAAGGTTGACAACGTTTTTATCAGTCGATCTGTGCCGTCCAAATTTCATGTTCTTAGACTAATCCTTTCGCATGCGAGATGGTCCAAATGGTTAGAGCGCGAGTTTACTGACCACAAGGTCCGTGGTTCGAACCCGACCTCTGCCTCTCGACCTCCCTGTCCAGGCTTAGGCAACCTGGCAGTATCCCAGCCCTCGTGCAACCTCCGGGTTGCATGGCAGTTTGGCACCGAAAGGGTGCTACAGCTGAACGATTTTTTTGAACTACTTAATACAATCCCCATCAGAAGCGATGAACAGTTTCAGATGTGCATCATTATGTGCGTTGCTTCACACGACCTTTCAATCTCGCTGCCTCTTGAGTTTCTTCGGCCTTGGAGGTGTCATGTTATTTCATGGGTTGTTTCAGATCACCAACGTTCCATGCCCTTTGACCAAACCAGAAACTTCATGCCTTCGTTAGTTCCAAGCGCTCCCAGCAGTGCAGACCACAACTCCACTGGTCTGTTCTTCAAATTAGATGTTAACCGCCAAAGAACCCTATTTGTATGCACTTTTCGAACGACATTGTGATCACAGTCCAGTTGTGCAGCATCTGCAGGCAACGCAACGCCGGTGTCCGTACAAGCTAGTTCATCCACTCGCTGATAATTCGTGCCGGTGTCCGCAGTGGATAATAGCCCATTACCATCCATCTACTCCTGTCAGTGATGTCGTCTCCGCAAGCCTTCTGTAGTCCCGATCAGAAGCACAACGACGTTGTGCCTTCGCTGAGGAGTTATTAGAAAATACCAACTGACGAGTTACAGACTATTGGACAGGGAAGCAAAACTCCCATATGCATCTTGTTTACAAAAACTCAACATCCATCTTCTCTTGAACGCGTCTTCCTGAACTGTCCCGGATATTCATTGACTGTTACGCAAGTCCAAGCAAATACTACAAAGCAACTCTACAAATTTCGCAACAGATCTCCCTTTTCAAGAGACATGAAGCGAATTTACGAGGAAACATACTACTTGCATGCCTCCCCATCAGTAGTATCACGGTTACACTGGTAGTTGATCACGTGGCTACTAATCTATTCGTCAGTCCACGCCGATGGCGTCTTCTCCATCAGTGACGTGACGTTTACAGACTAAATGTCGGGCTGGGCAAACAGATGAACTACCAGTAAATAGACCCACTTCACCAATACTCGGGTACATTTCCATGCGTATAGCTTGAAAGAAGTATGTCAGTTGAGAGAGGTTATACCAAACTTTTCACAAATTTCTGTAAAACCCTTGTACTAACCATTTCTTCAAAGTAGTCAGCTACGACAAGGAGGGAGAAGAAAAAAGCTGGACCTACCGAAGACCGCAGGCCATAAACTGTGTACGAACGAGGGCAGCTTCAGCGGAAACGGTTTGAAAGAAGTCAATCTGATCTGAGTTGGGTCGGTCGGGAAGAGAGAAAACAATTGACAAATGCTTCCAGGGATACCGTGATAAGGTGTTCATTCTAGCTGAAAAAAGTGAGGCCATTCAGAAAGAAATGGCTCATCGTTTTCAAAGAAAATCGTACAACACTACCCCAAGAGCAAGCCTCAGATTGCTCTGAACAAGGTCGCCTACCTAATCGAAGAATTTTATCCTCATGAGCAGCTTTACCAGAAATCAGCGAACAATGGTTTCACTTGTGGCCGGTCGCGCAGGGGTCTTAGGGCCTGGTGCATGGACGAGTCAGGACATTTTCCGCACACCTATGGAACATACTTCTCCATCTATTTCTCAAACCTTCTTAAACCTAGGCCTCTCAACCACTTGACGCTTGATATTCAGTTTGAATACGCGCTATAGGTTCTTTCCTATATCCGCCGTCCCAGTGAAGCTAGTGGTGCTGAGCCGCAAGCCCGTTCCAGCGCATGACCACATTCCACATGACTGGTCCAGAAGGAATGATAGCTGACAATGATTTGATCGTCCTCCGTTTAAGGCTGCCTCAAATGTAAAAGAACATGTGACCAGGAAGTTTTAGTTCTTCAGGAGTTAGTGTTGCATATAAACAGATGGTAATCAGCAATAGACGTTCCCGTGAGTGTCGATTCTCTCCTAAGATGACTAGCCAAACAGGCCTCAGCAGCACGAAGAAATGTGATCAAATCTCCGGTAGCCAGTTGTGCCCTGGTGTAGCATTTTCACAGACGACCCGGGCAGTACGCAGAGTATGAATAAGTACATCAGCAGCACGAATGTGATCAAATCTCCGGTAGCCAGTTGTACCCTGGTGTAGCATTTTCAAAAGTATCGGGGTGAGAATCCGCCAAGATGGATGTAAACATACTCAAACGCTAATTCACTTTTTACAAGGCTTTCACAGACGACCCGGGCAGTACGCAGAGTATGAATAAGTACATAGTCGAGCAAGACTCCTTCCTTCATCACTATCAGGACAATCAGTAGTGGCCCGTGGTTCACGCGGCCCAGGGGTTCACGACAGGTAGCGAGTAAACGTCGAAAGGGGTTTGCTGTCCGACAAGTGCGCTTCGATCTTGGAACTCCATTTTGCACAGACAACAGGCATGTATGAAAAGAGAGCCCACAATTTGAGGGAGAGTAACAGCTTACTTTGTTGTGGACAACAAAACCAGTCGGATGAATCGGGTCATATTTAGATATTGATTTCGAATCGTTTGTAACGGCAAAGTTTCAAGGACAGGACGTCGCTTGACGTAACCATATAGGAACGCGACCCGAGGAGGGATTCCGGTCCAGAAGGGGTGGTGGAGAAGACTTCTTCCAACTCCGTCAACTGTTAGAACAACGGCATGCGCATATGAGATCCATACTCTTGCCGTTCCTTGGTTTCAAAATTGTGGCGCATTCCACCGGCAGAATCGTACTTCTCAACACGCTTGTGCAGCATGACAGACCCTACAGGGTTATATCACACATACAAAACGCTGTATTCAAGCAAACCGACATGGTTATAAGTCAGTGATACCTGAGAGGGAAGACTATATTCGCACATCTACTCCATTGTATTCTGCAGGTGATGTGATGCGAATGATACCGCAACGCAAAGGCCGAGGTGGCACAATGTTCGAAAACGTGCAGTTCGACGTTGTGGAGGATTTA